GGGGGGGGGGGCATCAGAGGCAGGGAATTGAAAAGAGGCTTTTGTCAGCCAAGGTTGGCCTTAATGCAGTGAAATTATGACTACATAATTATTTTTACACCTCTTTCACAGCTGCACCACACTTATTACATCCCAGAAGAAAAGAAAAACACATTTTGGCCATATGCTTTAAAAAAAGTTTTTAGCTTTAAGTCCCAATAAAACAATCTTATGAAATAAAACTCCCATCTGAAGGCAAACACAATACAGGTGCTTTCTGATGCGTCAGCCTTCAATCTTAGAGAATGCTTCCTGCTTTGATTAGACTCGCTTGTTCAAAAATGCAAGTGACGTACAAAAATTGATAAAAGTCACCCTGCAAAGTTAGTGCAAAAGTATTTTAAATAGGGGTGCACCGATTGCAGTTTTCTGGCCGATCTCTAAAAAGTCTGACCTGCCGATTCCAATTTTGTTTTATAAGCAACACTGTCAGATGTTATAAGGTCACAATGCACCTTCAATTTTCAATCTTATTTTATTGAAAAACATACCCTTGAACAATATCCTAGAAATCCAAACTTGTTTTAACTGGCCATGAGGTTGTGCTCTGAAATATAAATGAAGTTTAGACAATTGTTGTTAAAACTACTCTCTTTCTCTTGCAAGTATTGGCCAATCTCCGATATTCCAAAATTAAGGAAATCGGGGCTGATAAATCGAACGGCCAATTTATCGGTGCACCCCTAATTTTAAATACGTAGATTTTACATAGTAAGTCAAATAAAGATGTCCAATAAAACAACGGACCAATATTTTTCTCTAATATGCCCTTCAACATCCATACATTTCCTCCTATAAATGACAAATGAGTTCAAGCAACGTCTGATCAATGCAAAGAAGGAAATCAAAAATAAAAACATAATCCTGAACTAAATCAAATTGTGCACATTCAAAGAGTTTCCGCTAGAACATTTTCAAGCTTTTGTTCATTCAAAGTGTCAAGTTTAAGTTTATTCAGGTTACCGTATTTTTCGCCCTATAAGTCGTGTTTTTTGGGATAATTTGCATGCCCTGCGACTTATACGCTGAAGCGACGTATTTATGGATTTTCCCCATATTTATAAACCAATTTTTGGCTGAGATATGACGGTTTTCATCATTCTGACTGAAAATACTGAACACTAACATTTTCAGCCGCTAAATGGCAATATAGCAGTATGGCATGCTGTTGTGTCATGTAATAGGTAAAAGTGGCTATTAATGACACAATCGGCTTGCCATCCTGTGCACGCTCCCGCGGCCACCATTTGGCAGTCAATCGATTTTTGGCACAACATCGGCCCACATTTCCAGGTTGTCAGTGGTGACGCGTAACAAACGTGACGCGTCAGCGGTGACGCATAATAGATGCGACGTATATGGCAAAGAGACACATTTATGGATTTTTCCAACTTTATTAGACAAATATGGACTGATGCAACTTATCTTCATCATTATAATCTTTAAATCACTTCTTGGTCTGCTGCCTTCACACATCTCCTCCTACATGTCTCTGCGTGAGTGCAGCTACAGCGTGCGCTCTCAGAACATTATTACCTGCGGTGTCCTCCCAGTGAGGACTGAACTAGGCAAAAGGGCCTTCTCCTACTCCGCTCATGTTTCCTGGAATAACTTGCAAAAAGATCTGAAGCCCTCGACCATGACCTCTCCAAGTGGTTTTAAACATCTGTTAAGTTCCTGGCAAAAACCAATGCAGACATGTTCCTGTTTTTAGTATTTTACATCGCCTTATAATCTAGTTGTTGTTGTTTTCTCACTACTTTTCCTTTTGACTGTCCTTTTGGTTGTTATTTTGTTTTGTTAAAAAAAAAAGAAATTTAAATTTGTATTCCTCTTTTGTGACTGTCTATTGTTGTCGTTATCCACTGTTGTCATCACTCTTTTTTAAAGAAATCAGGTCTCTCTTGTAAATGAGTCCCCGAGGCTCAATGGGATTAACCCGTCTAAATAAAGGTTGAATGAATAAGGCAGTGCGACATGTACGCCGGAAATACGGTAAGTTTGTAATGATCTTGAACACTAAAATATGTGCTCTACAAACAGTGATGTTATCCATGTCCTCTTTTATACACTTCCCCATAATGCCATATGAGTCAGCACTCTGTAGAATTGTATCAAATGAAGTACATCAGATTTAATATCAGATCCTGACTAATCATGACTCAACAGTTTTACTGTTGCAGAAATGAGCACACAGACTAAAACTAAATCATGACAACCTTTACGGCGAGTCAAAAGAAAAGTTTTGAAAGTCGACAGTAGTCACAATATCAGCAATTTAAATGTGCCTAAAATCTTTACAAAGTAAACAGCCGTCTCGTGCACCCTAACACAGATGACTCCAGCTGCTAGGACCGTTTTAGGTTCGACTTGTTGCATAGTGAAAATAGTATTTTTAACAACTTCTAGTGGTTAGCTTAGCTTCATGATTAAACTACCCCTTCTGGTTCAACAAACTGAGATGGTTCCGACTGTTTTCTGCTTTCACAAAAAAATAAAAAACTAGTCAGAAATATTCCACACAACTCCACTTAAATTTAAACTCATTTAAACACAAATGCTTTTCTTTAGCAACTTGGTTGAATGTGATGTGTTGTCAGAGATAATTATTTTAGGAGTCACAAATTTCCTGCAGCAACTACACTTTATATTTTACAAGTGGCACATATAATACACACGATTTCTCATTTGCACCTTTACTGAAATCTGATAAACACTTTTTTATGAACACCGGCAGCTGGTGTTGAATGAGAATGGGTTATGACAGCCAATTTAAGAAGATCCCTCTGTGGAAGATTTAGGTTATTAATAACAAATAATGATTTTAATGTTCATATAAAAGTTTTGATTAGGATTTGGTGCAGATGTGTTTGCTATTTTAGTTCCTGTTACACATTCCCCCAGGCACACTTTGAGGATTGTTTTCAGTCTTAACACCACTTGAATTATTTGGTAACAACATTTGGTGTCAGAAAGCGGGATCTCTATCTACAACAGCAAATCAGTAACATGAGTATAAGACATTACTGATAATTTGCTCAAACACCCAGAACATTTAAACCATAGCATAATAAAGACAGAGCTAGTAATAGAAAATTGAAAATATTGTTAATAAATTTACTTAAAACTCAAAGATACATTAGTAAAAACATAAGCCTCAAACAAAGCGCTGTTGTGAGAAAACAAAGTCAGATCTTAAAAATTCTTCACCACGAGAGGCAGAAGACTTGGATGGTCAGACATGTAAATATGTTTCTGCAGTGACTGTGGATTTTTTTTAATTTTTTATATCAAAGTTATTAAAATGTCAGTTCGGTTCAGTCTTGTAAAGTCCAACTTTCTGTGTCCCACATTAACTTTGAATGACGTTTGAACTGAAGAGCTTCAAAGAAAAAACAGTCCCATTTTGGTCTAAGGAGAAAATAGTTGAAGCTTTTTGGCAATTTCTGTCTACAAAGAGCAGCTACTTAAAAGACAGAGTGCTGCTTGGACACTTCCTGATAGAGCAACACATTTTTTATCTATGGTTTGTATGTTTTTCCCAAAGCCGCTGGGCATTGAAGCAGACAAAGTTCACGGTGGAAAACCAACAGAATTAGTATTAAAACTGCATCAATGCTTATGCAATGGTGCCCCAAAAAAGAATGGATTTAGAGCCTATAAAAGGTCAGTATTTACTGAAAACTATGCATGTAAAAGCAGAATTAGTAGCTCGTCAGTGAAGCAGGTAAGTTATAAATCAGTCTACCTTCCTCTGAGCTGCTCCGAGTTCTTCTCCATGCTCTCGTTTTCTGCAAACTCCATGAGCTCGCGGGCGGCACGGCCCATGTTGACGGCGGTGGGTCTGGCAGAGGTCAGGTGACACAGAGACTCCCTGATGAAGGTTACAGGGTCATCACCCCCAGCGCCCGCTCTCAGCTCCACGGCCAGGCTGAGGCAGCCGACGATGGCGATGGCCGGAGCTCCTCGAACCTAGAAGGGGATCCAGAAGAGGATTTACTAATGAAGAACCCGACATCTGTACATGAATGAGACACAATGCGTAGATAACGATAAAAGAGTGACTTGAAATCACCCCGGTGAGTGTGCACATTCTCCCATTAAACACTGAAGAGTGAACATCTGCTCGGCTCTAGTTAGTAAAATACTCAACAATACCTCTCAGCTGTGCCCGATTCAAAATGTGAAACATCTGTTTAAGCCTTCTGCATGTTAGGAATTCAAACAGAGAGAAAAACACGAGCTGGAGGTGCCAGTTTGAGCAGCACAAGATCAAAACGTGAACAACAAAAACAAAAAAAAAAACCTGGCAAAGGTCATTAATAATTCATCCATAATCTCTCCCAAAGAAAAAGAGAGGGGGGTGGGGGGTTCATGGGTGGATACCGGCTTTATCTCAGCAGATAATGTGCAAACTATGAATGAAGGCTGGCTTAAGGAGGGGGTAGATGGTTGTGGGAGGTATCCAAAACAAAAACTGCATGGATGGAGGCCGACAGGAGCGCATGCATGTCGGGTGAAGACAAAAAAAAAACCCTCGCTCAGTCAAACCAGGACCAGGAGACATACCTTCATGGACTTGATGGCCTGGTAGGCGTCCTGCACTGAGCGGATCTCATCGTAAACCGTCTGGTGAGGCAGCAGCAGCTGGTTGAGGATCTGCAAGGACCCGGTCCGGTAGCGGATCGCTTCCAGCGTCATGACCGAAGAAATGAAGGAAGAAGTGTGCGGGAGGGATGGGAGGGAGGGGGAGGAGGAGGAGGAGGAGGGGGTAAGACGGATAGATCGGTGGGGGTAGCGCTCACACTTATCTTTCTTTCACACACACAAGCTGGTCCACGTTGGACAGACCGCGGGCCTGGATCTCGGTCTGTGGGGGCGTCGCAGAGACGAGGACGACACGAAGGAGGTGCAAGTGTGGAGGAAAGGGACAAAAACAAACTACCTGGGCAGAAAGAAAGAAAGGGAAGCGTGAAGGGAAGGCTGCGAACCTTCACACTGACAGAGAAGCAGGAACCACGTGTTCAGCCGAGCAGGAAGAGCTCCGCCATGAGGCCACGCCCACCTCAGCCCTCCTCCTTTCATCTCGTCTCCCTTTTGTCTGGGGAAATTTCACGCTCACAAATGTTATTAGCATAACATCAAATAAGAAGCAGGCTCCCCTCAACAACAGAGCACAGCCTCATGAAAGTAGTCTATTTCGGGGAGGCTCAGATTTTATTGTTTTTAGCTCATGTCTTGGAAACTCTTCCGCCACTGCTGCCTGCAGCACAAAAAGCAATCAGTGCGCTTTCTTTACATTTTTAGGCCAATTTTGGGAGCACCGTTGCTCAAAAATGGTTAACGCTTTAATAAAATCTTTAAGCGAATGCACATCACCCATTGCCAATCATGATAAAGTAGAGCAATGATCTTGTAGGAGCGCGCTGTGAATGACTCTCAGCTACTACCACACCACATTTTAGCTTAATGTTTGTCAAGTTAACAAAGTTGGCATCAAAGTTCATGCTCAATAATCCAGGTAAAAAAAAAAATTCCAACAAAGTTAAGGCAGGTCCTCTGGACGGTTTCTTTTTTTGTTGAAACATTTCGTCCCTCATCCAAAGGACTTCATCAGTGTGAAGAGCCACAACAAACTCAGTCCCATAAGTGGTTTACTCATAGTGGACCAACCAGTTTTATGGTGATAAGATGGTTTCTTGAGTCCGCCCTCTCCCCCGTCGAATCCTCAGAGGCAGCCATGGCCAAAGTGGTTCAAAACATCAAAGTTCATGCTCAATAATCCAGGTAAAATAATCCAACAAAGTTAAGACAGGTCCTCTATATATCGCCGTTTACGACCACGGCGTTTAATGCCGGCTCTTTTATTCCCAGTGGGAGAGACACTTACACCGACACAAATAACGACTTTTGAGAATAATAAAAGTTTTTACCGTTTACTCTTGACAAGACAGGAAAAGTTACAGGTTTCAGCGCTGAGGCTTCGATCCGAACCACCACAGAGACTATCTCGACGGACGATGCACCGAACACAGGAAACACCCGTATATATAGATTCTAGGCTCCATCCCTCACAGAGAGACCCCTCACCCATTTAACCTGCATGTTATGTGAATATTAATTCAATCATGTCATTTCTAACGGTTCATTTCATGCTTGAATATTCATGAGAAATGTGTGTTTCGTTCCACTATGTGCTAATTCACTAATGTGTAGGTGTATGATTCTCCATCAAAATTCCGTTGCTGTTCATAACTGTTGTTATGGCAGTGACAATAAAGTTTAAAGTAAGTAAAGTAAATGGTTTTTGAGCAATAATAACAACCATGTTATTGTTCTCATGTCAATTAGGGAGATGAGAAGAGCCCTAAACCCCAGAGAACCACAGAGAAGATTCAGGAAGAGATGTAGAGGTGCACAAGTCTGCCATCAACCCTTGGCAACCCAAAAAATAAAAATAATTAATTTGTATGTCTCTTTTGTGACAGTCTATTTTTGTCGTCGTTATCCATTGTTGTCATCATTCTTTGTTAAAGAACTCAGGTCTCTCGTAAATGAGTCCCCGAGGCTCAATGGGATGAAGGTTGAATGAAAACCAGGTATCCGTGTGCAACAAGCTTCATCCACAGCCTCAGAGTGAACATTTCCAGCTGGAGACACCATCAGCCAGGAGCCGGCTTGTTTGTGTCCAGAGAAAGCAGACATGTTGATTTTTCTGAAAGAAAAGCTGCTAAGTGAAAAGGTGTGCAGCAGTGAGCATTAGACACCGACATGTTTGTAACTGTTCTTTTGACCTGAAAAGTATTTATTTTTATGCAAGAAAACTGCTTGGAATCGAAAAATATCAAGGTTAAACAAATAAAACTCAAGATTTGTACAGTACTGTGAGCGTGCTCTTCAGACTGATGAAGTCCTTTGGATGAAGGACGAACCGTCTAAACAAAAAAAGAAACTGTCCAGATGACCTGACTGAACTTTGATGGATTAACAAAGTTAAAGCCATTTTTGTGTTTGGTACTGTGGTGGCCATTTTGAATTGGGACTTGCTCCAAGACTCAGTTGGTTGTAAATGCACATTCGAAAATTAATTTTTTGCAGGTTTTATCAGAATTTCTTCAGCAGTTCATGAGCGTTTGGTAAAAGAGGCACACAGAAATGGATAAAAACACTACTCACCTTTTGGCGTTGGGCGATAACTAGAGTTGATAAACCAAATTAAGTATATTTGTTTAGTCAAAAAGGGATAAATCTGGATCATATGTCAATGAATTCACAAATTCCCATTTTTGGTCACCCTTTTTATTCATGTTCAAACCAACCACATACATAAGACCTGAAGAATCAGGCCGTCACGTTCCCACTTCATCAATAATCAGAAGTTGCTCATAAAAATAGAGACTGAGCGCATTAGTTACTGTACATAAATACATTTAAACTGATTGCCCTCCCGTGAATTATCTGATATAAATATGTTCAACAGTAAATGAAAGCATCGACTCCAGCTGATCAGAAAGAAACTTATAAATGCTAAATATTTTTTACACAGACATAAGAAAAATAAAACTATTCTTAATAAGAGTGTGATGGAGTTTGTGTGCATTGCTGCGATTGCAACAGAGGAGTGCGCGTCACCAGGAAGACACATTTTAACGATATGCCCCTCTGTCCCACCACACTGAATGCCGAGGAGCTTGTTGCCACGACAACAGGACGGCTTCAGAGTACAGGAAGTTATCTGAGGATGTTTGTCTGCTCCTCTGAGATGACCCGAAGTTCAAACCTTACACGGTTTCAGGCGTGCAGCTGCTACAGAATCGTACCGGAGACGAAAAAAGTGTTGTTTAAACAACCAAACGTGTTAATTCTGACTAAAAATTGTGTTTTCACAAGGGTCGATTAGACAAAACATTATGGACTTTTGGTTTTAGTTACCTTCTAAAAATGATAATTATCAAATTTGAACTATAATACTACACAAGTAAAAATAGACGACATATTCATAAATATATTCTGCAATTCTTCATGTTATTTTTCCAACTTTTTGTCATTTTGTCTGCTGTGGTCTGATAGTTAACTCTAAATTGTCCCTAGGTGTGAGTGAGCGAGTGAATGGTTGTTTGTCTCGTTTGTCTCTGTGTGTCCCTGTGATGGACTTGTGACCCGTCCAGGGTGTACCCCGCCCCTCGCACAGTGATTGCTGGACATGGGCACCAGCGACCCCCGTGACCCAAAATGGAATAAACGGGTAAAGATAATGGATGGATGGTCTGATAGTCACAAGGCTTGAAAGGAACATAGAATATTTTACCATTAGAGGCGTGTTTTTGTGCACCTCTCTGCAGAAACGGTCAGGTGTATCTAAACTGGGCTGCAACTTGGCAAAAAGCTTTCATGAGGAATTCAACTTCCGTGCACGAGTCACACACTTGAATTAAGAACATATTTAAAAATGTGCACACCAGAGTTGTTGCAGGCACCTCCAACTCATCTCAAACCAAGAATGCAACAGATGTTTTGTCGCATCAACAAAAATAAATGAATAAAAAAACATCGAAGGCAAATGTCCGAGTCTTAAAAAGCACGCTGATGTTTTCAGTCTCAGTCAGTGTAACTCTTAACTTCTTCTTGTTGGATAAATATCTGAATGTCATAAATTTACTCAGAAAGCCAAACACCAGAACATTTAATACAGAGAGGAAACAATGTCAAACTTAATGCCAAAAAAGGTGGATATGAAAGTCGCTAATGGCACTTGTGGAAAACAAAAAAATAGATGTTTTTTTCTTTTACCATCACAAGCAGCCAGTTGTGGCTCCATCTACTGTATATGAGATGCACGGAAACCTAAATGAAAAAGTAGCAGCATAATCCACCAAGTCTGCATTAATTTTAGTAGAAGTTATGTCATTTAAATCTCTCTTAATGCAAAGCCTTTCAGATTAATCAGCATTTAAACTGCGCTTCTGCATTACTGCATCAGAGACAGGCAGTATAAATGGACTTGTTTGGCTCAAAATCAAGTTTGAACAGCTTGAAAATTCACTTCTGCGCTGCTCAGAAATGAATAGAAATCAATAACTGCTTGCAAGAGCATGGAAATTAGCTCTAAAGGCTGGAAACAGTGTTGTGTTAAAGCATTGACAAAAGGAAACTACATAATTTGAAGGGAATGAACTTTGCAAACAGATTGCTGTTTTTTTAAACTACCATCCCATGTTAAACAATCTTCTATTATTCCATTAAAAAATACTGACATCAGTGTCCATCTTAATTAATCAAGAGGAGGAAAGAGGTTTTACATTTAAAAATCCTTGCAGTATTGAGGTCCAACCTAAAGCTGGATTATTAGTTTCCCAGCGGAGGCAGATTAGTTTAAACACAGAATTATCCAATGTTGTGTCACATGACTACGTATAACCAGAGATTTTTGCTGTCTAGAAGTTACACACGTTAACAAAATTTAAATAAAAATCTGCTACAACCAGGCTGGCTGTGAATCGAGCTGCTTTCAAGTGAACAGGTTGTCAAACTAACAGGTTCAGGGTGTTGATATCGCGACACATCGATTGTATTTGTGCACATTCAGCATTGCTTCAAGACATCTACATTTGTCAGAGGAAGGATTTTTTTTTTTTTTTGTTTAAGCTCGACTGCGGTCTCAAACGTTACAGAGAAGTTATTTTAGGGACGTCTGATGAGCAATGACTCGGCCACAGTGATACAGCAGAGACGTCCCGTGGACAGATGTCTCAGGGTCCACTCTGCAGCTGCTGGAGATCTCCGCAGGACAGTCTTGTTTTCGCAAAAACGGTGGATAATCTCAGAATATGTGCAAACAAACAAACAAACAAAAAAAAAGAAGTGATGAAGATGGAGAGGAAAAACGGCTAATAACGAAGCAGCAGCAATCCCTTCTCCAAGCTGAGATTTTCTCATGCAACACGCCTTCTGAAAGTCACCCGACGTCTGGAGCTAGTCATTTTCTTGGCGACATGAAACTAATCCCGCATTATGGGATGTAGGCTCCAGCACCCCAAAGCTCCCCCTTTATTCCCATATCACAACACTCCAAACGAAGCAGATTACTGTAATCCGGGAGCAAACAGATTATTAAGCTCATTACACACAAAAAGCGTAGCTAGAAAAGGTTAACACCACCTTCGTTCAATGGTTAAACACACTTCAGAGAATGTAGACACACAGACACACACACATTTTTGGTCATTTTTAGTCACCAAAAGAGTTGGTGTCAAATGTAAAACCTTTAAATTAACGTATTTCCCAATAATCCCAAAGGATCTAAGAAAAGAAAATGTAGTGTTTGTTTTTTGTACAAGTGCAAAATTTCACCATCTCCATCAAAAAGTCATGCCTTTAAATGCTTTCTGTAATAGTTGCGTGTCTTGTTGCAGTTTGTTTTAAGTGATTATGGTGGCAACCCACAACATCTGGAAGCTGCAGAGCGACAGAGTTAACAGGCTGGGTCACGCAGCTTTCTTCAACAACAACAAAAAAAAGCTTGAGGTTACCCACTGCAGCATCTGAGTGAGTGTGAGAGACAACGGTTCTCCAGCCAAGCCTGCGTTTTGTTCTTCTTCTTTCATCCCGTGCGTTTTCTTCTCAGGGATTCAAGCTGAACAAGAGAAAAACTAAAATTACACACTGTACTGATCGAAGGCGAAACGTTTCAGCACAAAAAAAGAAACTGTCCAGATGACCTGACTGAAAAATGTTGGATTGTATACCTGGATTATTGAGCATGGACTTTGTTGTACACACTGTACTATTTCAACAAACACAAATAACATATACAGCCCCCAGTCCTGACAAAAGTTGTGAATGTTATGTAAAATGTAAAAAAAATAAAATGCAAAAACTTGCAAATTTGTGTTTTATTCAAAGTGAAACATATCAAATGCTTAATCTGAGAAAGGGTAATTTTTTAATTAAGGAAACTCAATTTTTTTAATAGCAAATAAAAACAGTTAGGGATGTATTTACCACCGTGTAGGCCTGTCACGATAACAAATTTTGCTGGGCGATTGTCTCAGAAATTATTGAGATAAACGATAATATTGTTTGAAATTTGACAATAATTAGTAATTATTGTCAAATTGAAAAATAAATGTTGGTTAATTTGTTTTGAGTGTAGTACCTTTTTTTCGACCACTGGACAGCAGTATAAGACTGTTTGAACCTAAGGATGGATAGTGAGGGAGCGAGCAGTGCGTCTCTTAAAAAAATGGGAGGGAGGACCCTTGACGTGACATGGGCTGTCTCATTCCTTTATTCGGTTCTCAAAATGGCGGACTCTCTGTTTGGTTTGAGCTCTTTAGCATAGCATTTTTCACACAAAGCTTTTAATCAAGTTCTCAGCTTCTTTTTGCAGTGAAAAATAACTTTTTACACTAAGGCACAAGTTTCAACTGAGAATTTTTAAGCTTCGACAAGACGGAGGTTTTTTCCCCGAGGTCGGCCTGTTAGCTTAGCTCGTAGCTTAGCTTCTCAGCTTAGCTGCTTTTAACAATCCAAAAACGCAATTTTGGACGGTTAAAATGGATTTTAAAGAGAAAAGAGAAAGGGAGGGGTCAGTGAAGAGCACCGGAGTTGAGCCTTTTGTCATCCAGTGTCTTCAGTAGAAAGAGAGACACATGAAGAAACAATAAAGCTGATAAATGAAAATGAGGTAGATAATTTTCATTTGTCATGAAATTAATCGATTTATTGTTTACCACAACAGGCCTACCACCGTGAAGCAGCTCCTCTTTTTAAAGAAACAAAGCTTCCTCTGCAGCTGATCAGCTGTTCTCCATGTAAAGCGGAGAAGTGGGCGTGGCCAAGAGCGCTTGTAGGTGGTTGAGTGCAGCCATGGCTGAGAGGAGGCAGGGAGCTGAAATCATGACATTCTGTGCTCTTTTAGAGCGTTTAGAGTTTAGAAACATTGTTTAGAAGAACTGAGACCAGTTTGGATGGGAGCACATGTTGTTCTAAAACCAGACGTGTAAGCTGCCTATGCCAGAGGGACTAATGCACCCTCATACCATCAGAGAGGCAGTTTATGTACTGAGAGCTGATAACAGGCTGGATGGTCCTTCTCCACTTTAATATAGAAGATGTGGTGACTGTGGCTTAAAAAAAAAATCAAATTTTAAATCATTTGACCAAAGAACAGTTTTCAATTGGCCTAAAGAACATGACAGCATTTCTGGGTGGTCTTCATATTTGGCTTCTTCTTTGTATGATGGAGCTTTAAGCAGCATTTGTGGATGGCAGAGTGAACTGTTCACAGACATTGGTTTGTGAAAGTGTTTCTGAGCCCATGCAGTGAAGTCCAGAACAAAATGAGACCTTTTTAATGCAGCGCTGCCCGAGAGTCTAAAAATTGCAGCCATCCAATGTTGACTTGCAGCTTTGTCCTCTGAGCTCAGAGATTTCTCCAGATTATTAAAATATTTTGATATTACAAAGTGTAGATGATGGGATATTTAAAGCATTTCCATTGAGAAATATTACTCTAAAACTGTTCCACTATTTTAGAAAGTTTTTTGCAGACTGGTAAACCCCTGCCCATCTTTACTTCTGAGAGATTCAACTCTTTTTACAGCCAGTCTCAACACTGAACTGTTACCTCCTAAAACTAAGAAAATGTGAAATGTTCCTCCAGATGTTTCTTATTTGTACCACTTACTTTTACAGTACTTTGGTGCCTCTGCCCAAACATGTTACTGAAATACAATTAAAACTGCCTTGTTCAATAATTTTTTTATTTTATTTCTTCGTTTCATCTTGGAATATGTTGACTATGTTCCACTGTGAATAAAATATGATTTTAGGAGGTGTGCAAATCATTGCACTCTTCTTTTTTTTTTTTACATTTTACACATCTTCCAATGTTTTGCATATTTATTCAAACTTTATTTATACATGTAAATCCCATTGAGCCTCAGGGACTCATTTACAAGAGAGACCTGAAAATGGTTGAGAACAATATAGTTGCGGTCACATGTTTCTGAAAAGGCCTTACCTCACTTTCTACCAACTTCAACCTGCCCAGTGCATCTTTAGCAGCATCCTATTTAAAAACAAGTGAAAATGATTTTTATTTTAAACAAACATGTATCTGAAGTCAACCCTGACCCTGCACTCACCCTGTTGCCTTGGCTGGAGAATTTCTTCACAGACTCAGAAAGTCCTTGAACGAGTCGCCGCAGCACGTGTTCATATTCTGCACATGTCGCAGACAGAAACATCAGTCATGCTTTAATGATGAAACTGTATCCTTAAATGGATCAGTCATATTCATGTGTGCTAGGATATGTCTGTACACTTATTAAAGACATGAACGTGACGTCAAACTTTGACTCCAAGTGATGGCAACTGGCTTTGAACAAACATAATTTGGTTCGTATGTTTAACCATCACCCGATGACAGTCATGCTGAGAACAAGTTCAGATCAACTTTTGCAATTCTGAGCTGCTACCTGACAGCAGAACAGGAGAAGCTCGCTCCAGCTGTGCTTTCTGCCACTGAAGTCTGCGTGTAACCTCTTTGTGTTGCTGGATCAGATCAGATGGGGGATCTCGCCGGCTCTTCTGGTAATCTGCAATCTAAAAGACGACCGTAATGAACGTCCTCTTCCCACCATGACCTACTCCAACCATTAGAAAAGTGGAAGTCGTGGATAAGAAATACCTTTCTCTCAAAGCGCTCCCGGTCGTAGTTGAGGAGGCTGAAGCTGTGGAGGTTGTACTGTGAAGTAGAGTTGTTGGGCTGATTGCTTTTGCCACTGGCTTCATGTCTGGGTTTAGACCGGGGGGACGGAGCCTTTTCCAAACAAACAAATACAAACACACAAAGGGTCTCGACTAAACTGTCATCTAAAGTGAACACTGCTCCCTGCAGGCATTACATGAATAAATTAATTATTCTTTAGAGTTGTGCTGTTTCACGCAAAACGATAATCAACCTGCACATTCATGGATTTCTGTAATAAGGTTGCTGAAGTACTGCACATGTTTATTCATGAACTCGTCTGTCTTTAACAGTTTTATGAGTAATTTGATTATTTCAGGGTAAAAGCACTCAAGCTGACGATGTATTGATGATCTTTGTTTTTTTTTTCTTTTAGGGTTTGCGTGAAAAAAAGCATGGCTAACAAAACCAAACAATCCAACATGAAAAAAAAAACTTTTTTTGACCCAAACTGTAAATTTAAAAAAAGCCCTCTGACACTGAAAGCCTTATTTCTAACCCAGTCCTGGCTAGTGTAATGCAGCAGGAGCTTCTGATGTCACACCGAGTGTTCCCAATATGAGACACTTGCTACTCAGAGAACCAGCATCATGAAAGTTACCTAAAGTTTTATGAATTGGGCCAGTGTGATAAACAGCTGGTGGTGTTAATTATCTAATAAAGTTCCACAGAACAGGAGGAGGAGGTCCAGCGTGTTGATGTAATTAGAGAATAAATCAATTAAGAAACTCTATCCACTCCCCACTGTGTGTGTGGGTCTGAGACGTGGAGCTGGTATGAAAACATCTACAATCTGAATTAAATTTCTTGACCAGCAGAACAAAGTTATTACCTGCCGCTGAAAGGGTAATGATGTTTTTGTTCATGTTTATGTGCTTCTCTGTTATCAAAAATATCTTATAAATATGACAATAACGTTATAAACAAGTCCATTTTCTTATTTATTTCAAATATTAAAGTTAACTATTCACTAGGAAAGTCTACCTGGTAGCAAAATATTTCAAGAACCACTGGGCGGATTTTTATTAAATATTTAGGACATATTTATTGGTAGTTGATCCAAAATGCTGCTGCCAGAGTTTTAATGGGAGTTGATTGGAGAGATCATCTCTCCAGTTTTAGCTGCTCTCCATTGGCTCCCTGTCAAATCCAGAATTTAATTCAAAAATCTTACTTCTAACCTACAAAGCCCTCAACAACCTAGCTCCATCTTATATTTGAGATCATATTGTTCCATATTTTCCTAACAGAGCACTTCGCTCTCAGACTGCAGGATTACTTGTGGTTCCTAGAGTTTCCAAAAGCGGAATGGGAGGAAGATCTTTCAGTTATCAGGCTCCTCTCTTGTGGAACCAACTTCCAGTTTCAGTCCGTGAGGCTGACACATGGTCCAGTTTTACAACCGAGCTTAAGACTTTCCTTTTTGATAATCCTATAATTAGTCGGCTTGGTTTATCCTATGCTGCTATAACACAGGGGTTCCCCCAAAACTTATCCATGCCATGGTCCTAACTTCTGGCCGAGGTTCCTCTCGCAAACCCACAAACAATGCTACAAAATATGTAAAGAAACATCAACTTTTAGAATGTTTTAACTTTAATTCACTATATTCAATTATTACAGCTGCTGAGCATAAAAATGTTATTAACTAACATGTTTTAAACACTATTATATTCCCACTGAAAAAACAACTTTTCAACCAACTGTTGACCAGAAGAACAAAACAAAAGAAATGTACAGGCATGTTTATGTGGAAATGACAGATACAGGTTGCCTAATGGGAGGAATGGGCCTGGTGGCTCCTACACCGTTTGTCAAACCTGGGCTTCATGTCTGTCAGTGCCATACATGTCATTGTCCACGTGTAGACATGCTCTATGTTTTGAGTACCTTTAAAGCCACGAGTTTTGCTTTTTTTTTTTTTTTTCAGCAATTTCCACCACAGCAGGGCTGCTGGTCAGTTCCTTTGGTCTTTTTAGAAACTTCTCCATTTCGTCCATGCTATGCTAGCTTGTGCAGCTTGATACATTTGACTGGCAGCCAATCAGAAAGATGAGCACGGTGAAAAAAAATTAAATATATTATTATAAAATATATTTTAAAATAAGTATTGAAAAATAGATTTGATTTTATTACAGTAATTAAAAAAAAAAAAAAAAAAAAAAAAATATATATATATATATATATATATATATATATTTTTTTTTTTATCATCTTCTCTCCAGCTTTCTGAGGCCCTCCTAGCACCCCCTGGCAGCCCCCAATTTTAAAAACACCAAACTGACCTCATTTCATCAAATGAACAGTTACAAATACATACAAATGAATAGTTTGCATTTGTAATATTCTTTAACATGTGATATCTGTCTTTTTGTTTTTCCTCCTAAAGAAAACCTGATGGCCTCCATCCAGGACCTGTCACTGTGTGTTGGTCCTCTCAAACCCAGCCGGTTGAAGCAGATGGCCACTTGTCCTGAGCCTGGTTCTGCTGGAGGTTTATTCCTCATGAGGCAGTTTTTCCTTTCCACTGTTGCCTCTGTGCTTGTTAACGATGTGAGACTGTGATGAAGTGAAACTGAACTGAATTGAATTGAAATACTTTTAACAGTTTCAGACAGACTATTCTGTGAGGGGTGGCTGGGAGAAAAGGTTTCCCTCATAATGTTCAAAGCATTATTGAAGTAAAATATATAACCAACGTGCGTGTTGAACGACAAAGTTTGACAATTTTTTTGTAAGTGCCTTTTGTGCTAGATTGTTGTTGAAAATTAAAACAAAGTTCTTTAGACACCGACCTTCAGTTGGATCTGAGCACACGTACCTAGAACCAGGTGAACTGTGAATTACTCACCCGCTCCTTGGGTTTATCTGACGGAGAGAGAGCTGAAACCGGCTCAAGAACAAGCCACTTCTCTGTCACCGGCTGCAGATCGGCGCCTGAAAGGGGCTCTCTGATCTTCACTCTCACCTCCAACTTCCCACCTGTAGCTTTACGACCATCCATCACCTGCGGACACGCACATGCACTGTCAGAAAGATGGTATGCGTGTGAAATTGGCAACATTGAATTAACACTCACGTCTATAATCTCTCTGATGTCACAGTGGTTTTCGAGAGCTTCGAGTTTCAGCTGAGCAGTGCCCACCACTTTATCGTTCTTAAACAGACCTCTGTCGACGCACACGGCAGAAAATACAGAAGACGTGAACAGGAATACACAGAGCAGATATACAGGTACGCAGATGAGTAATTTTACCCCTTGTGGACGATTTCAAACTTGATGCCTTTGGACTGAATGACCCGTTTGAAAGCTCTGTGGTTACGGCTGATGTTGAGTTTGAACTCCTCTTTAAACTCTGGACTGCTTGTGTTCTTGACTGTGCCTGTTTTGTCCCTCTGGGCCTCCTCCTACTCACAAACACAACGCAGTCATTAAAGCACATCTACACACGGTTCACAATGAGTGAAACCTCTGCGGTCGCTGAGCGTGAAATCAGCTTACCGAGCTGGGGAAGGGAAACTCAAATTTTACACTGGCATCCAGATCATTAGGCGAGACACCTGCAGGACGGAAGGAAGGTGTGAACGCACTTAAATCATCAGATCACTGCCGGTTCTGTTCAAAGATGTGGACAAAGATGTTATACCTGATGGAGCTGGCAGGTTGACGCCTCGACTAATGTACAGTAGCAGATCATTAGGTGTCAGGCTGGAGTGGATCCTATGTGACAGACAACAACCAGTCAGTTAAAGAGCCATATAATTTGGACTCCTGTATGAGTCACAGAGCTTTTAGTCTGATATCATCCCGGAGCAGAAGCAGCATGAGTCACAGTGAGTCATTCTGATTCATCTACCACTCTAATAAGGTAATACGCAAGAGATTGTTTGTTTGTTTATTTAT